AAGGAAGGAAGGAAGGAAGGAAGGAAGGAAGGAAGGAAGGAAGGAAGGAAGGAAGGAAGGAAGGAAGGAAGGAAGGAAGGAAGGAAGGAAGGAAGAAAAATGCCCCAATTTGATTCAAATCTCTTGCCTAGTACCACAGGTTTAAATTACATTTAAAAATAAAGGAGTGAATTGAATGGAATTGAAAGGCAACAATTCAGTTAAGAAAAATGTGTACTATTTTCTGATGAAAGGCAGTGGCTAAGCTTACTTCAGGCAAATTGGATGCTTTTCCCTGCATTCAACTCTAGGAGCTTGATAGATGTAGTTTTGAATACAATACAAAAGAATTCCTGTTAAATTCAAACAATTTGGCCATCCTAAAATTTAAGAGAAAAGCAAAACAGTAATTTATTTGCCTCTACCATAGAATATGTTTTTAAAAGTATTAGGTAAATTTACTTGATAAGATATTGTAAGCAATGCATCTGTATGACAGAACAGTCTACAGAGGAAAGAGAAGACGAAGAAATAGGTGCAAGTAATAGGTGCAAGTAGATCATGAAATCATCCAACCTGATTTTATTTTTATAACAAGTCAGTAATTCACCCTTCTATTGAGTTTAGTGCTTGTGTATGGCTTAAAACGTATTTTCCAGAGAGATTCCTGCTCTTGATCTTGACAAATGGAATAAGAAAAAAAAAAAAAAAACAGAGTATGATTGTAGTTTGTTCCACTGGTCAGTCCTTTGAATTGTTCTAAGGGATTTGTGCCTAACTGGCTTTGTGAAGCTGCAGCTTCTGGCTATTGCTTCTTGTGGTGACTGTGATGTCTTTTCTCTGCCATAGTCAAGCTTATGCGAGGAGCCTGCTTGGTTTGTCCTTGATGGTGTCGTGCTGGGAGCAGTTTGGAAGCCTCGTGTGCCAGGAAAGTAGGGAGTGATCCAGCCACAGCTCACACCTTCCTTGGAAAGAGGAAGAGCTAAATGTGACTTAGATGAAAGGAGTCAATAACAATGTTGAGCTAAATGGGAATAAAACAGTATGTAGRAAAAGAAAGGCTGGGAGCATTGTAGGATGTTCAAAATTTTTAAGTGATGCTACTTTTTACTATAACTTTGGTCCTTTTTATCTTGTTTGGACGTCTTCATTTGCTGCTCTCCGTGCAGCCATTGCTGCCCATGCTCAAGGGCAAGGTTTCATTTATCCAGGACACTCTCCTTGGTCCATGCCTTGATGCTCTATGGTTGAGCAGCAGTTTTCTTTTTTTTTTTTTTTTTTAATTTTTGCCATGGGATCAAATGCTCTTAAGATAGAATTATTTCTTTCCTCATGACTCTCCTCCTCATCCCCACGTTTGAGTGTTTACTAGGTACATTGCCATGGTGTGACTCTGAGAAGAGGAGGTGATATATCTCAGCTCTACAGAACCAGGACGCACAAAAGCCGAGATCAGAAATACTCATTAAGGTTGTGCTCAGGTTGAGCTCCTTAGGATACGTTTTTTTGAGAGTGTACTTGCTAAAATCCACACTTTTCCTGACCTCACCTGCAGCTGTGAATCATCAGCATTTGTCAAAACAGAATCCAAGGTCTCGTCTTGGAAAATATGGGTCACAAACTTAGCAAGTTCCTGAGGAAAACTCTGAGTGTAGGCACTTCCCTGGGATCTCACCATAGATGTCCTGCTGCCAGGGCCTTTCTTTCCCTTCCTTTGTGCCCCTGGTTTATTTGCTGCAAACCTTCCACCTGCAGGAGGAAGAGGGGCAAGGAGTTCTTAGGCGGTAACTTTTCTTTGGTAGAGCCACTGAACTGAGGAGAAACGTGTTAACTTTTTGAACAGTGTGTGTGATTGTGTTGATAAAGACTGTAAAGACAGCCTGCGCTTAAAGGAAGATCTTAAATTAGTATTGAATTTAATAATTCCTTTTAAGTGCTAAATATTGCAACCTTGATATACCGTGTTAGTGTACTTTGGTTTTGTGCCATCTCTCAGGGCTTTTTTAGAACTTGAGCCCTGCATTCTGGCCCAGCTTTTGTAGAAGATGCTTTTCTTGAGGTCAGTGCCCCTTCCACGCTCCTGCCTTTATCTGCCACTCAGTCCTGTGCTTTCCCTCTTGGCTGATCCCGCTCTGGTCTTTTTGTCTCCCTCCCTTGACTGATCATTGAAATTTGCAGTCCAGGCAGCTCCAATCTCAGTCGCTCCTACTTGGCGGGACTTTCTTTCCTCTAGTTCCCTGTTTAATGCCTCTTACAGCTTTTAAACCAGTTTCACTGATGCCTATCCACTCCTCCTGCAGTCCCAGATGCCTTCTGATCTGGTACCCCCTTCATTTAGCACCATCTTAGTCTTGAACTGAGATTCAACCCTGATTTATTTGTGAAAGGGGTCATGGTCCCAAGGTTCTGAAATGAGGCAAATGGTGGTGAGTCTTCTCCTCCGTGGGACAGATTAAAAAAGATACAGCCACATTTCATGTACTTTAGCCCGCAATAGATGTGTTGAATTATTTTCTTAACCAAACTTTTCTAAGAATGTGTCTTTCATGTGGAATTCTTGGAGCTTGAGATTTAACATTTTCCTTCTGAATCTGTTCTTGGGAACATACGCACCGTTTCTGCTTAGGAGCACCTCCAGATATTTTAATAGTAGTCATTTGGCATTTTGTTCAGAAATGCAAACCATTTACACTTAAAATGTGTAAAGATATTTAGAGTTTCATGTAAGAAATCCTACCTATGTTGCTTTAACTTCTCATAACATTCAGCAAATCATTTTGATACCTGCAAGGTATTACAAAACCTGGCAAGGCAAAACTGCTCACACAAATGAACAGTGTGTTCTAAGCACTAACTGTTCTGCTTTTCGCTTGTGTTAGCAAAAACTCGTGCTGCTGACTTATTGGTGAATCCTCTGGACCCGAGAAATGCAGATAAAATTAGAGTTAAAATTGCTGACCTGGGGAACGCCTGCTGGGTGGTAAGTACAACTGCATCACTGTGGTTTAGCCCTCCTTATTTAGAACAGACCATCTTAGTGTTCTTTTTTTTTCCCATTAATGCAATTCTTTCTATTGCAGCATAAACACTTCACAGAAGACATCCAGACAAGACAATATAGATCCATAGAGGTTTTAATAGGAGCAGGTTACAGTACACCTGCTGATATCTGGAGTACAGCATGTATGGTAAGAGCAATAAAACTTCTGTTTTATAAGAATAATCCTCCAAAGAAATTGTGTATTTAGTGAGGGAACCTGACTAGCATGGTTCTGACACTCTGATATAAATACATTGTTATAAATGATGTAGTATCAAATTGCTGCTGTTTGTTTTTTTTCTCTCTTTTATTTCAATCTCTTAAGCATCCTCAATCAAAAGGAAGTGTATTTGAGGAAGTTTCTATTTTTACTTTGATGCATTTTAAACTTGCAGTCAAAAAGATGCAAATTTGCAAGGAGTTTTATGTTTATTATGAATGTCAAAATTGAACTGAAATAGTACAATTGCATGCTTTCKTCAAAAGTGGTTAGATACTAGAATCTGTGCAAATGTTTGGTATGTTTCCTTTGCTTTGCTTCCATAAAATAATAAAACATTAAATAAGTAAAACTCTTACCACCTTCAGTGAAAGCATTCATCAGATTCGGTTGGCAGGTGACAGATTGTAGACTTGGTGGGAAGAAGTTTTGTTTATTAGGAAAACATGTGCTTAAAGCTCTGTAGAATTCATTTTAACACACAGCAAAACTGAAATGATGCATTTTWAAAAATATTTTAACATTAGGAAAAAACCTGAATCTTTCAAGTCTATTTGAAATGTTCTGTAGACGATGTCTGTTTGAGGACAAACAAGCTGTATATGTGTACTCATTAGAGATAGTTTTAGAAATAGATTTAGAAATACTTTTCTCTATTTTAAAAGTGAAAACACATTCAAATCTTGATACCTTACAAATTCATGTCTGAAAAGAATGTGTGAGGAGGAGGAGGAGGAGGAGGAGGAGGAGGAGGAAACTCAAATACTAGACACAGTTGCAGGCGTGGGTGAGGAGAAGAACTGCAGAACTCGGAGGGCGAGGAGGAGGATGGAAAAGGACAAAATCCTACAGATAGAAGCTCAGCAAGCCATGTGTTGGAAGTAACTAACTCACAAGCAAAAATGAAAGTATGATTTCTCTGAGTTTAATACTTAATTCTGCCTTAATACGYATGAAAGGTCTGAATTTCCTCATCCATTTTGAGGCAAAATCTAGAATTTTTCTATTACTTTGAAAACAAAGCCAAAGGATATTCCACAGTTACGGTCCTATGGCTGAAGTGTTTGTTAGACTCACATTTAATTTTTTTTTGCTACTTTTCCTAGCAAAGATAATGCAGAATCATCCGTGAATGTTTCCCAGTTGGATCAGCTGTTCAAGTTTGGCATCTGCTAATTTATGAAGTTTGAATGTCAATGTAAAGGTTAGGCGCCAAGAAATCTAAATTGTGAATTCTTTGAGCTCTTTAATGATTCTTTGGTTAATTAAGGAGAAAATTACTGAAGCTAAATCACTTTTTCATTCCTTATAGTTGATATTTTTTGCTAATAGTTCAGTTTAGTACCTTTCTTTGGTTTCTATAGTCTTCCTTAAGGCTTGCATAGGTGCACTACATCCTGCTAGTTTTAGAGTCAGCCCTGTCGCTAGAGCCACACAAATCAGGCTAAATTTGCCTTCAAATAAAATGGGATATTTAGTAACAGTTTCACCCTTAGGGAAATTCCTTAGGGAATTTGGTGCTCTTATAATATTTGGCATGACTTTCTTATTCCTTTTAAATAAGAAAGGTGTCTTTGGCAGGGCAGTGGTTACTGGCAGTGTGTATAAATTTTAAGCATATATGTGAAAACTGTTTATTTGAATTTAACCCTTTATAGTGACTGAATTTTAAGAAATTGTAATGCTGTGAGAGTTGTTGAAGATGAACATGCCAGGAGATACAGGGCTGTTTTGTTCTATGAGAGTCATCCTGACCCTTACATCTTTAKTCATGTTATAGAAACTGTATTGCTTTCTATATGGAAATCCCTTTTAAACTCAAAACTTCATGTCCTGAAAACCTAAAGAATCTTTGCCATTTGTTTAGGTTCACAGTTATTTATGAAATCGTACCATTTTCGTGAAAAAATATGCTGCTGGTTTTTTTTCCATTATGTAAGCTTTAAGGACAGCAAAGTATTTGAGGCAGAAACATTGGAATTCTGTCATGCCATACACTTATACTGTAGAAATGTAATAGTTTTGCAGCAGTGCCATATGGTTGGTGTATTCAGTTGTCTTCATCGTGTAAGTGCAGTCAGGGGAAAGGTGGAGATGAGGTATTTGCCCCAGAAATTTACAGTTTGTGATCTGCTTTCATTCTGGTATGGCTGGAAAATGGGTCAGAGCGGTGTGAATCCCAGCATCAGCTGGAATACAGCTCTGTGAGGTGGGTATTAACTGAAGGCAGTAACAGTGCTTTTCTGCAGAGAATTTATAATTGAGATTAAGGGGCAAGGGGAATATCCCTGATGTGGAGCTGCAGAGACACCAAGAGCTTATTTACCTTGCCCRTCTTTGGAAATGTTGATCTGATTCTCTGCAGTCCCTGGAGCATCCAGGAACTGTACTGAAGTGTTTTAAAGCCAGTGTAGCCCCACTTGCTCTTTCAGGTTTGCTTTCTTGAACCTAGATGTGGTTCCTAAAGTGTCCCTCTAGGTCACATTACTCTTGTTTCCTTGTTTAGTTCACTTTATGCCGGGGTGGTTGCTCTTGTGTGTGTTTTCAAAGGGTTTGTCTGCAGCAGGAGCTGGAGGGGCAGTGCATTTTGCTGTGACAAGATACAGCCCAGCCAACCCATTAGCCACATTGTCCAAAACCTCAAATTCACTGGGGTACCAGGAGATTCCCCACTTCTTTGTCACATTCCTTTGCTTGCACAACAGGTCCAGTGTCGTTAAGGACATTTTTGGAAGCTGCACACACCAAAGGAGGTGTTAGCAGTGTTGTCATTACCTTTCCCCCCTCCTAGTTTCCCTTCTTCCAAACCTGGCCTAATGAAACCAGGCACACAGGAGGTGGTTCTGCTGGCTGACACCTGTGCTTATTTTAGATTGTTTTTCTCATATATTGCTTTAAACAGATCATTAATTAAAGACTATATGTTAAAATGTGATGGGAAGCTTGCTGTTTTGTTCAGGAGGGGCATCAAATACTTCATGTCCCTCTGTCAGAAACCTTATGTTTGTGACTGGTATTGGSCTGCCAGGAAAGGAGGCATTTTGCCCTGAATTTGGCTTTGGGCTGGGAGCTGTGCAACAAAATTATCGATCCTGTACCTTATTTTCATAATGATTTTGTCTTAAGCTCTCTTGTCCCTATTTATCTCCTGAAAGATAATGATACTTAGTGCGTGGAAGTGTGTGCCGGATATGAATGATGGGAATTAATGTGGATTCAAAGAATAATATGGTAGTAGCTGAGCAGAGATGAGACATGTAAAAGATGGAGAAATAGCTCCCTGCTAATAACCATACAGTACTTTTCTTTTGGCATCGTGTCAGTGAGTAAGCAGCAGTGTAAGCCAGCAGCCTGCGAGCTGAATCTTCTAATTTTAGATGCTTCATCATGGTCCAGTTCTTGTGCCCCAAACATGAAAAGCTGGGCTTCAAAGCAGATTTAAAGGATGAGAGGGGAATTTCCTCAGGGCAGTACCAGCTCAGTTAATCTGGATCTTAAAAAACAAAAATACAGGGAGAAAGGAGAAGGATGCCCCAGGCCTGAGTGATTGTTGAGATCATTTGCTGGACATTTACATGTATTGCTAAGGGAGTTGCGTGGTGGGTTCCCTCTCCTCTCCTCTCCTCTCCTCTCCTCTCCTCTCCTCTCCTCTCCTCTCCTCTCCTCTCCTCTCCTCTCCTCT